AATATCGGACCTCTAAAAAGTACAAGCATGCATATGTACTCAGTACTTGGTTTGGGCCCCTTTTGCAGCACTTACTGCAATTACTTTTGCACGATATTCTAATTATTCGAGTTTCACCTGTATATCTTAATCAGCAGTGCAGACACTTCCTCCACCTCCTTGACCTCTGCACAATTTTCTTCATTTGTAAAAAAGAAAGAACATTAAAAGTGTACCTCATTTATAGCCATGCTGCATCCAGGCATTGGCAGCTACAAACAGAACAGCACAAAGTTTGATTAGGGTTCAGCTCCTGAAAAAAGGTTCCACTTAAAGGGATGCTATGAATTGTGAGCAGCACCCCTGCTACAGCTACTGAGGGAAATTGAGCCCTCAATTTTATCTATGAGATAACTTGTAGGAAACCATACAATCTGTAAATGGGTTCTTTGTACAGAAGTGTTCCTTCTGATAAAAGTTGAGTTATAATTTACTGTACAGCTGAATGCCAAACATCAAGATTTTAATGAATGTAGACATCATATTAGCCATTTACCTCTGCAGTGTATCTAGTCTTTTTCTTGAAAAACCCTGCCTCCTAGTTACATTGCAGGATCAGAAGTTAATACATCTATTAAAATTATGATTCTGGAGTCCAGCTTTCAGACAATTGCCTTAGTCTTTTGTAAAAGTTGATTGCATTGTGAATTGTGAAGTGTTTAAATGACACTTACATCATTATTTCTGTGATCATTCTTGTCCACATACGGTACATTCAAGCAGGAATCCAGTACTCTCATTTGTGATTTATAATGAACACACTGTATGACCGTGATATTTGTGAGCACAGCTTGGACCAGCAGAATCAGCATCAGGAGCAACAGCAGTATTTCATAGAAGTGCTGAAGAGAAAAAAAAACAACAGGGGAGTGGAGCTATGTATACATTGTGAACATATCCACCTCTTTCCTAGAGTCTATAAGTGTAATATTTGTAATTGCTCCTCATAATTGAGGTCCACCAACTCCTTAAAATTGTGTTACCCTTCTCTGAACTCTGTCTAGTTCAAGGATATATTTTCTGTGGATTGGTGACCATAACTGAGCTGCTTATTCAAGACTGTGCAAACCAATGCTTTATAAAAGGGTTAGAACTATGGATCTCTCTTGGAAATAGGTCATTCTTAATTAAGAGTATTCTATTAAGTTTATAGGCAAGAGCATGCTATGCAAATCTGCAGCTAAGTCTTATCTACATAGGACCTCTACATTCTTTTCCATCACAGATTCACCCAGAGGAACCACTTCCAACGAGTATGTTGCAAATGTTTACTGCAATTTTTTCAATATTGAACCTCATCTGCCATGTAGTTGCCCAACCCCTATTTTATCGAAGACTTCCAGTAAAGATGATGCATCTTTTTTTTTCTTTCCATGCACAACTTGAAATCGTCAGCAAACATTAAAATATAACTCTTAATTAGAACCCTAATATTAATAAACAAGTTAAACAGCATAGACCCCAAGATAGGGCCCTGAGGAACATCACTTACAAGAAGTCTACTTAGAGAATGAGCCATTGATCACTACTCTTTGGACACATTCCTGTAACCAGTTGTCTATCCATGCACATGCAAACTAGTCTACACCAACAAACCTTAATTTGTAAAGTAAACATTTATGAGGCACAGTGTAGTATACCTTAGCAAAATCCAGATATACTGCATCCACTGGCATTCCTCCATCTAAATTCCAACTCACTTGGTTCACAGACTGTTAACAGGTTATTCTGACAAAAAGATTTTTCATAAATCCAAACTGGCTGTACCATATACCAACATCACTAAAACATTCTTGAATATAGTCTCTACCAGGCATTCAAATATTTACATACTTTTGAAGTTAAGCTGATTGGTCTGTAATTTTCTGGCATACATCTTAACCCTTTTTTGAATAATTGTATCACATTTGCTTTACACCATTCAGATGGTACAATCCCAATCAGCAAAGTGTCATTAGATATTAAAAACAATGGTCTGGCTATAACAGAGACAATCTATCTGGGTACTCGAAGGTGTAAGCCATCTGATTCTGGCGATTTATTCACATTCATTTTTTCTAATCTGTTTTAAACTTGGATCTCTGTCAGCAACATACGGTAGGTACATCAAGAGCAGTTATTAGCATTACTGTACAATCAACCCACCTTTGTTGATATAAACTGGAGAAAAATGTAATTAATCTGCCTTCTCCTCATCATGACCAACTTCCCATTTCATCTTTTATGGAGCCTAAAATGCTCTGTCCTAACTTTATTACTGAATTTTTTTTTCTAATATACAAAAAAACATTTTTTTTTTTAAAAGGCACCTACACAGCCAATATGATCAATTAAAACAATTTTCAAAAACGGTTTCAATTACTCAACCCCTTTGTGGCAAGCAGCTTTTGTACTTAGTAGAGCACCCTTTTGCTGTTATGACCTGCTGCAAATGAGATGCATAGCCAGACACCAGCTTCTGGCAGCATTCCTGAGGAATCTTAGCCCATTCTTCATATGCAATGGCCTCCAGTTGACTAATATTCTTGGGTTTGCATGCTACAATCATCGTCTTCAAAACCTGCTAGAGATTTTCTATGGTATTCAAGTCAGGTGACTGTGATGACCACTGTAGAATCTTCCAGGACTTCTTCAGCAACCAAGCCTTGGTGGAATTTGAAGTGTGCTTGGGATCATTGTCCTATTGGAAGGTCCAATGACACCCAAGCTTCAGCTTCCTCACACACACATGACATTTTCTCCTAGGATTTGCTGATTCTTCAATGAATCCATCTTGCCTTCTACGCACTGCAGGTTTCCAATGCCAGAGGATGCAAATCAGGCCCAGAGCATCACCAAGCCACCACCATGCTTAACTGTAGGCAGAGGGATCTTTTCAGTGTATGCTTCATTCTTCATCCAAACATACCGCTGATGCATAGGGCCAAAAACATCTGTGGCTTATTTATATTGAGTATAGGGCACAGAGAAGGTAAAGAGGAAGATCTAGAGCATCATGTGACCGGTCTAACACTACAAACACTTGCCACAAATGTACAATGCCAGTAAATTCTCCTTTAGATCTGCTAACTATGTACTGCAGTTGCCTACCAAAACAACCCATTAAATCTACATCCAATAAGGCACGATTGCATAGTTGTTGTAATCTATGAATACTGTAAGCTTTACAGGCCAATCCAAACTCCAGATTCAAGACATTAGTAATTATGCCCCTCCCCCAAAGCAATTTAGTATAATGTAGGGAACCGCTGTGTGTTCTGGATGAAAACTTACCGTTACATCGGGTGGATATGTTTTAAAAATGACGACTGTCTGTATGACATAAATAGACAAGTAAGATGAAGTTGTATATAATAATGGAGCTGTAATACTGCTGGTAGCGATCAGAACTTCAACCTAGGATAACAAAAATGTAAGCCAAGCAGTACATCAACTTATACAGTTTTTGCTTAATTGTAACAATGATTTAAGCTGTTGCATATACAAATGCTTCTTTAGTTTGAATTCCTTTTGAGTTATGTTAAAATACTAAATTCTCTGTTGAGCTTCATAAAATTTAAAATAAAAGTAAACTTTCCTGTCTTCCCGAGACATTATTTGTTTGATCATTAAAATAGAACTTCAGACAATCAGCTAAAAATACCTAGCTGAAATACATATACGGTACAGTGCAAAAGTCTTACGCCCTTGAATGCTTTGAATATGTTGTTTAGTTTTTATCGATTAAACAAAAAAACAGAATTTTGTCTTACCTGTAAATACCGTCTCTTGGAGTACATCACAGGACAGAGGGGGTTAATCCTTAGACCACTTGGTTATGCAGCTACCTTCGTGCGATTGACAAATCAATCAAAGCTGCAGAACAGCCCTCAATAACCCCTTCCACTCCCAACCAGCCTCAGTTTTGTAGAAAGCAGTAGACAGTGAACAACTTTTCCTTTAAGCTCTTAGGACTGTCAGATGGTTTGATTAATCTAACTAGCAATGGAAGAGTGGGGAGCCAGCTGACGCTCAAGAATAACAAACGGGGAGTCAAGATTTGTGAATAGCACAACCTTATACTTATGGATGACCAGAAAAGGGCTCCTTGCATTTCAAGACCAATAATTCAGACATTCCTAGCAGAAGTGATGGCTATGAGAAAGGATTGAGATCTAGAATTGATTAAAGGGGCGGCTTTTGAAGGGCAGATGGATCCAGTTTGAGGTCCCACAATGTCACCACAGCACATACAGGAGGAAAAATGTGTGCTATCCTATGCACAAAGGCCTACACCCAATAAGTGAGAGGAAAGTGGCTTCTGGAAGAGGGCAGATATCGGACCCCTGATAGTATTCAGAACTAAATGCTGGTCCAAACCAGACCGCAGGAAAGATAGAATGTGTCCCTTCAAGGTACTTCCTAGGATAGAATTTTCTGGCCTTGTGCAATGTGAAGTACCATGTGTAATGATTAAGCCATGGTGGTGAAATCCATAAGAGGCACAGGTGTGGGAGGGATACTATGGTGATGTATTTGCTGTACTACGTTCGATGTTGGGTTCTATCTGGAAATTACTACAATAAAGCTGAAGACTGGTGAGGTCTCTGTGCTTTTTTGGATACCAGGTGCAATGGTGGTTTGACTTCCTAACCTTTTTTTGAAAAGTACTTTTTATTCAGTTTTGCATACAACAGTTTTGCATTAAATATTTTGAGATCCATATTGAGAAGGGCAATTGGTCTGTAAGAGGAACACAAGAGAGGGTCCTTGCCGGGTTTAGGAGCAGCACCACATGTGCATCCCGAAACGAGTCAGGGAGCCCACCAGTCTCTAGGGCAGATGCATAAAGGTCCCGAAGCCTGGGAGCCATTTGCTCTGCGTACAATTTATACCATTCCCCAGGCAGGCCATCCGGCCCCGGGGATTTCCCATTAGGGAATGAAGCTGGAGATAGTTCAGGATTTCCCGAGCGGAGGCAGCGGAGCTTCACCCAACACGTGCGCTCCCTCTCACATCGCGGCCACGCCCTTGACTTCCTAACCTTAAGGCGCATAGAGATGACAGCATGTGGAAGGCCTCTATCCCTCAGTACTTGCGCTTCAACAGCCATGCCGTAATAACCAGCGACCAGGAAGCCAGGTGGAATACCGGTCCTTGCGACAGAAGGTCCGGATGGTCCAGAAGTGCCCGCAAGGTGTTTGACCATGTCCACATATCAGGGCCTTCCGGGCCAGTTGGGGACAATGAGGATCACCAGAATGTCCTCCATCTCAATCCTACAAATGAGTCAAGGCAAGAGCTTTAGAGGGGAGAAGGCATAAATCAGCTTGAACTGATCCCACAGAATCACCAAGGCATCCACCATGAAGGCTTGAGAATCCTTGGTCCTAGTGACAAACCTGCCCAGCTTCCTGAATGTTATTGTGGGGGGGTTACCAATAGATCTAGTCTAGCGTGTCCCCCCACATACAACAGAGAGCCTAAAACACCTCTGGATGGAGGTGTGAAGGAATATGGATCATATCAAGAAAATGTCCTTTTCTATGTTTTGAATTAGTTTAATTTGCTTCCTAGCTTTCTGACTTTCCTTACTCAGCTTTTTAGCGTTGCTATGCATAACCAAGAGATATATCCTGTATTCAGGAGCGCGCCGAGGACACATGAAAGGAATGCCGAGGGAGGACGCTACAGGCAGAAGATATCTTTGACTAACCAATTAGCGAGAGACACAAGACTTTAACAGCCCCTCTAGTTTGCCCAATAGTACAAGACATTTAGAGAGGTAAATGTCAGAGGTGGGCATATGTGTGACGAACACTCTCCTGTTATCTGTGTATAAAGGAGAGAGACTGCCCTGAATAAAATTAGAGCATCATAGACCGTTAATCCTGAGTTTGTGATTTCTCCTGTGCACCGAACACAACATAATTAGAAACAGCAGCAGACATCTTGTGTGAACCCAGTTGTGGTTCAGATCCATTTCAGAGGGACTACTCCTCAGGATCCCGTTGCTAACGACTGAGGTAACTTTGCCTGCTAATTTTCCCCTCCTGGAATGTGTACGGTGGAAAGGGCTTGAAACGTGAACTTCAACCCAAACCAAAATCAGACTAAGGCTGCGTGACTGTTGGTGCCTCTGTAATGGTTGAGAATGACTGAATGGTGACTAAATCCTGTTCGGCTGGCCCTACAATTGGGGGGTCCAGCATTGAAAAGACAAATTAATTGCTTTGAGCTTCAGGATGTTTATTGGGAGTCAAACATCTTTCCACGACCAGATCCTCTGGTCTGGACTAAGAAGTCCACCTCCCCAGGACTCCACCCCAGCCCAACAGGCTTGCATCCATCAATAGCCCCTTCCAAGACATCGACTCCAGCTCCAGACTGGACATCCACCACAGATGGACAAGATTTGTCTTGCTGGATAAGCGGATGGGGAGATCCAGGGAGCGACCCTGAATTCTTCCCTTGGCCTTGGGGCCAATGATCAGGCGGGAGCAAATCCCCAGAACATTTCTACCTACAGAATGGGGACAATGACCCCTTTTCGAGAGAGGCACTGACTTAGGGCAGCAAAGAGACTTAAACAGATAGGACAACAGGAAATGTGGAGGAAGCAGGGCGCAAAACCCTAGCTTGTAGCTTAGTAAGAGATCAGTAGCTCGGAACCTAGGCATCAGGAATTTCCCACACCCAGAGTGCCGAGAAGGCTGAAAGACATCCCCTTCACCCTTGTAAATGTGGAGGCGCCCCTTCATTGTGAAGAAGCCTTGCAGTGGGACTGTGGAACCTGTGTGGATTTGGAACCTGAGGCTTGAGATGGACAAAACACTTTCTTTTTAAGGGAGTGGGGGAGCAACTAACGGAGTCTATAGCTTTTGCTTCTGTGGCAAGAACGCTCTCCCCCTACCCCGCCTTCCTTGATACAAGTATAGCAGCATTCTCCAAAGAGGCATCCTCCACTGAAGAGCATGTGCTCAATGCACTTCTTGCAGGGGAGCTCGACCATCATTTTAGCCAAAGCATCTGCCGCATGTGGACCGACAAAGCGGGATCAGTCAAGATAGATTCAGGGTCTCTGGTCATAGCCTTTGACCAAAGTGATGCAGGTTGAATGGCTGGGCCTGCAAGGACAAACGAGATCTTAAAGAGGGCTTCTAACCTATTTTCCATGTGGTCCTTGAAAAACAGGGATAGCCTCTACAGGAACTGTAAGGCTTTTGTTCAGACAAGAGAAGGCAGGTGCCACGTTAGAGACCGCTCACTTCTTACGAAGGCCATCCTCGAGAGAATACCACTTTTACATATGATTTGCTAGCACAGAAGCTAATTATATATTTTAAATAGCCTGCTAAGCTACACAGATACAGAAAGTTTTTTTTTTATAGAAAAAAGGATAAAACCATATGAATAAAAGTTGACCTATATAACCTCTCCTGGCAATTTTATAGGGTTTGTCCCTAAACCCTGTAACTGTCACTTTTGTTGGACAGCTTGATCTGCATTGTAAATGTAGAAAAAGGCTTGTAAAGTACTAAAAGAATTCATATATTGCATACTATCATTTACAAGTGTTAACCACATACAGTTACCAAAAAGAAAAAGGATTTATACACGATTGCTAGCCTTTTACATATTTTGGTGCACTGATCTGCCATACAGGAACCTAGATTTCAGTTTAGCAGAACAATGCATACAGACTTGGTAGTAATATGTTAGTTACTAAGATGATCATGTTTTTCAATGGATTCCTTTTAGATAAAGTTTTGTATCTAACATTTAGACTTACCAAACACTGGCTTGGAAATTCTGCTGCAACATGGCTGGCAATTGCACATGGGAAACACTGTAAAAAAAAAAAATACATAGTTTCATGCATAGCCTCATTAAAGTACCATGATTAATAACATTCACTAAAAAAACATAACATCTTTATAGAAACTAATAAACAGAGGCACACCGTATGTTCCGCAGTCACAAAATACACATGGTAGTTAGTTCTAGGAATGATTAAGATTATCAACAGAACAGTAAATATCCTTATGTATGAACTAAGTGTAAAGTGTTACTGTGTTTGCCTTGAAGAACTGAACTTGGAAGAGGTGCCCAAAGTCAGGCAGATGGCAAGGGACTAGTCACTAATATTGACTCTTGTCTTCCTGCAGCTGATCTTTTTACATGAATTACCTACCATGGTTTGTTTTGCACTTTGCCTCTATATGGATGCGGCCATCTCGGTAGAGGTAGGACTTTGTTTCCTCACATCAGAGCCTCCAGCAAGAAGAGTAGGAGCACAAAAGTGACATCACTGTATCACACTCCATATCTCATAAAATTAGCAGTCACAGGTAGAAGTGCCTTAGGTATTGCACTGCAGGTATACAGCTATAAGGCTGTATGTACAATAGTGCAATAGCACCCTCACCTACTATAAAGTGCACTGCTAATTTTCAGGAGAAAGTAATTGCAATAGGTAGATTTTTCAGGATGCTGCTTAGGATAAATTAACACCTTCTAGATGTTGCCTATGACACAGCAAATATTCACTATTAAACTTTAACTTGGCATTTATAAATATGGGGGTTGCCATTTCTGACCTTGCCTCCTGCAAATGCTAGCAGCTTAGCTGTCATGATGACCATCTTGCATTGAAATCTAAATCCTGGAACAAGAATTTACTTAATGATTCCAACTTTTCAGATCTGCATATTTGTTCCAGGTAAGTGTATGGATGTATTAAAGCTCATCAACATAACGGGCAAGCATAACATCCACGCTACTAGTTTTCACAGAATGAGGTTAGCAATTGCAGCCCATTATGCCTCTCCTGACAGGTTTACTGTAAAAGCAGGCACCTAAAGATGCACGTATGTACTGTAGTTTCAGACAATTCCCTGAGCACGTCACCATGCAAATAACAACCAGAGGTTAGAAACGGAGCTTCATTTCTGCACATTGGTAACTGTGTAGTTGAGTTTCTCAGATTTCAGGGTTTTTTGAAGGGGTCACGACAAATCTAAAGCTAGGCTACAGTTTAAAAAGTTTAAGATATTGCAGTTTTACTGAAAGAAAATCCAACCGGCTATGCAAATAAAATCAGTATTCAGTATAGTGCTAGTTCTAGACTTGCAAGCTTGACTCAAGGGTTTGGATACAGCACTGTATATTTGCAGGTCTAATAAATTTTTGCCATTCTGCGGTCACTCCACAAGCCATTATTGGAATGGACACAGCCAAGAGAAAAGGCTGGAGAATTACGTAATATAAATAAATGACTCCGTCAAGATGACGCTTTAGTTAATTATGATTTTAACATTAGACCTGTAAAACCGCACACCACTGAGACACATAGTATGCTTTGTAGTGAACTCTGGGTTACTTTGTGTCTGTACTTAAGCTGTGCAACAGGCACTTATCTTGCAAATATAGGGATGTAGTATTTTTCCAAATTCTCCTCTTACATTTTTGATCTGTCAGTGTAAGATTAGTCAGCTTAGCTGTGTGCTGGCTAGTGTCCCTAAGGTGTGCAGTGATTTTTCTCAGTCATCTGCAGTGTTGAGTGTGCTCCAGCAGGGTGTGCTAGGGATAAAACTTATTAAGGATGTTTAATACCTGGCCAATCAGCTGATTTGGGGAGCCTGCTGTGCATGCTGGGAGAGCTATTAAATACCTGAAGTATTTCCTGGCACATGGTTTTCCCTCCAGGGTCTTCCCCCTGTGGAGGATGAATCTGTAACTATTATACTAGGCTCCAGCCCCTATGGGGCCTAGGGGTATGGGAAGCTGCGGGGATTTACCTTCCTGGGAGGTGTCCCTACATTACTGGCTGCTATTGAGTGCTACAAGCCTTGAGGAAGCAAACTTCAGTTGTCCCCCATAGGGATGGTAAATGACTGAGTCTGGGGAAGCAACGCAGGAACCTTCCCATTGCTAACCTGCTTTGATGTGAAGACTGAGCATACACTAGAATCTTTGCTACAAGCAGCCAGTTTACAAACTACATATCCAGCCCGTAAAGCACTAAGAGAAAGAGGGATCCAGAAAGATTATGCAGAAGACGAAAAGGACTGTGCTTTGATGTAATTCAACAGGTATTGTGTGCTCCTTCATCCGCCTTCTTTACTCTTCTCCATGCACATGCTAATAAAATATCTAAATTATACTCACAGTGATTGACGCTCATGACTCTTAACATCATAATGACCAGAGTTACACACACATACATATACACTATATTGTCAAAAGTATTGGGACGCCTGCCTTTACACGCACATGAACTTTAATGGCATCCCAGTCTTAATCCGTAGGGTTCAATATTGAGTTGGCCCAGCCTTTGGAGCTATAATAGCTTCAACTCTTCTGGGAAGGTTGTCCACAAGGTTTAGGAGTGTGTCTATAGTAATTCTTCCAGAAGAGCATTTGCAAGGTCAGGTATTGATGTTGGACGAGTAGCCTGGCCCGCAGTCTCCGCTCTAATTCATCCCAAAGGTGTTCCATCGGGTTGAGGTCAGGACTCTGTGCAGGCCTGTCAAGTTCCTCCACCCCAAACTCGCTCATCCATGTCTTTATGGACCTTGCTTTGTGCACAGTCATGTTGGAACAGGAAGGGGCCATCCCCAAACTGTCCCCGCAAAGGTGGGAGCATTAAATTGTCCAAAATGTCTTGGTATGCCGATGCCTTAAGAGTACCCTTCACTGGAACTAAGGGGCCAAGCCCAACCCCTGAACAACCACCCCACACTATAATCCCCCTCCACCAAACTTTACACTTGGCACAATGCAGTCAGGCAAGTACCGTTCTCCCGGCAACTGCCAAACCCAGACACGTCCATTGGATTGCCAGACAGAGAAGCGTGATTCGTCACTTCAAAGAACATGTCTCCACTTCTCTAGTGTCCAGTGGCTGCGTGCTTTACACTACTGCATCCAACACTTTGCATTGCACTTGGTGATGTAAGGCTTGGATGCAGTTGCTCGGCCATGGAAACCATTCCATGAAGCTCTCTACGCACTGTTGTGCCAATCTGAAGGCCACACGAAGTTTGGAGGCCTGTAGCTATGGACTCTGCAGACAGTTGGCGATTTCTGCGCACTGTGCACTTCAGCGCGCGCGGACTACGCTCTGTCATATTACGTCGCTTATCACTTGGTGGCAGAGTTGCTGTTCCCAGTTGCTTCCACTTTGTTATAATACCACTAACAGTTGACCGTGGAATATTTAGTAGCAAGGAAATTTCACGGATAGACATTGCATAGGTGGCAACCTATCACGGTACCACACTTGAATTTACTGAGCTCCTGAGAGCAACCCATTCTTTCGCAAATGTTTGTAGAAGCAGTCTGCTTGCCTAGGTGCTTGATTTTTCACACCTGTGGCCATGGAGGTGATTGGAACACCTGAATCCAATGATTTGGAGGGGTGTCCCATATACATACATACCAGTCAAGTCCCATGCTCCCACTTGCAGAGGCTCAAGGTCTTCTAATTATCAACAGGTGGGAGGCGGTAGCTGACTGGAGAGGGTCATCTCATTTAACCCACCCAAGCAAGGTTACATTTGGAGGCACTGCTGAGATCAGATTTATCCACCATGGGACCATGTACATTTTTGCCATTATCATTTGTGTGGAAAAGTGAAATTGATGAGTCCATTGCCCGCAAGCTGAGATCTGATTTTTTTTAAATCTGAAATTGAGTTGTGCTTAATTGACTGTTTTAATTTGATGGAGATGCATTTCCAGGAGTGTTGTGCCTATTTTTGTGAAGTTACTGGAGTTTGTTGCTTCGGCCAGAAATGGACGAACTTGATGTACGGGACTATTTAGGAGTTTCTAAGCCCTGGTCGAGATGTGAACCTGTCGCCAGTGTTAGCCGATTGCTGTTCTACAGCTGCATGTGGATGTGGAACTATGGTTGCTACATATATAAAAACAAAGTCCTGCTGAAAAGACCTGATTGCCCAGATGTAGAATACAGCCATATAGTTTTAAATGTGTCTGGAAATATGGTGCAGTATCCTAATCCTAGATGGTACTACCCTGTTTCCCCTAAAATAAGACCTACCCCGAAAGTAAGACCTAGCACTATTTTTCAAGATTCCTGTAATATAAGACCTACCCCGAAAATAAGACCTAGTATGGTGGTAGCATGTGAGGGGAAACTTGAAGAGCAGAAGTGATAGTATCAGCCTGCAGGGACATACTGTATTAAGGGGATGACCGGGGACTACCTCCGGTCAGCGCAGTGATAGGGAGCACTCCAGTACCAAACTTAACCAACTACTGTCCCCGAAGGCACTGCTTAATGTAATGGTACTGTACTGTATTGTGTACCGGTAAATGGTACCGTACTTTACCGTGCTGTCCACTGTCTGATGTCCCCACTGCTGCACCGCTGGTACCACTGCCCCTGATGGCAAAGGAAGCCGGAGCTGTAGAAAGCAAGGCTGCGGCGGCAGATCGAGCAGAGCCGCATTAGCTGATACTTCCTCTATAGCGCCGGTTACTGTGACAGGCGGAGTTATACCAGATAACTTTGGATTGTTGTACATTTTGTTGCACATTAAAAAATAAAAATAAGACATCCCCTGAAAATAAGACATAGTGTGTTTTTGGGGGGCAAAAAATATATAAGACAGTGTCTTATTTTCGGGGAAACACGGTAGGAGCAGGAAAAATGTAATTATCAAAAGATACCGGAGTTTACTTTTGAAAACAGTTTGCTGTTCATAGTTTTTGTTTCTAACCAAGAAGAAGGCGCTGCTCTTTGTAGGCTCGGAATGCCTCCTCTCAACCCGGAACTTCGGGACACACATTGTCTGGGAGCGAGCGGCTGTGAACATGCAG